GTTTTGGGGGTTATGTTTTGTTATTCATTTGCATATTTATTTTTGCTTTTTTCCCTCACATTCTCATTATCTGTGGCACATTGTATTCAATGATTTCTTTCACAAATATTATACACACAGTACTGTGCAAGAGTCATAAGCCACTTGAGAATGTTTATAGTTTATGTTTAAAGCTATTTATCTGGGTAACTGTTTATTTGCTTGAAAAACACTACATAATAAGACAAACAAGATAAAAATAAGAAAATAAATAAATTATAGAGAAATTCTTATTCTTTTTCCAAAAAAAAAAAAATTCCAGAAAAATGTATATATTTTGAGATGGGCATAGCAGAACATAGGTTTGGCTCCCAATCCTCTTCTTGAGGCACCCTAGCTATTGTAGATAGCTATTGTATTATACAGCCATGTACTGTATTTGTTTCATTTTACCACCAGCACACCTGATTCAGCTTAATGAGGTGCTGATTAGCTGAGCCAGGTGTGCTGGTGATTTAATTTAACAAATACATGGAATGGCTGGAGTGCCTCGAGGAGAGGTTTGAAAAGGGATACGCTAACATTCTTTGATAGACATAAAATCAAGGTTTTGCATCAACAAGGCAATTCTCAGTGAGAAATAGCCTGTCTAACTGGAGTTTTAAGATGTGATGTTCAAACTGTCAGAAAAGAAATGTGAAGAATGTGGGCGAGTTGAAGACAGAAAACACAGTGGAAGACGTAAAAAGCTGTCTCCATCTGATGAACAGTATTTAAAAATCACTTTCTTGAGGGACAGAAGGAAACCCAGTGAAGTGCTTGCACAGCATCAAAGTACAAACATCAACTATGAAAAGAAATGGTCCTGTTGGACGCGTTGCAGCTAAAAAAATATTTTTGCGGAAAGGCAACAAGCAGAAGAGATTACAGTACACAAAAGACCATAATGCATAGATGGAGAATCAGTTTCAGAAAGTCTAATGGAGCATCAAGTCCAGTTTTTTGGTTCAGAAAAGACACCAGTATGTCAGAAGAGTTAGTAAGAAGTACACTGATACCTGTCTACAGCTATCTGTGAAGCAAGGTGGCAGCTCTGAAGTGGTCTGGGGGTGCATTTCAGCCAACAGTTTAAGAGATCTGGTCAAAATTGGTATAATTATGAATGCTGAGAATTACAAACAGATCTTGTTTCCTCAAACTGTACCTTTAGGAAGATAACTAATTGCCTTCCTTGGGTCAATATATTCCTGACATCTGCATGAAATGGAAAATCAGACAGTATTGTAGCATTGTACCGTGAGGTGCTGTTCCAATAATAGTTTACGGTGTACCTCACACAAACTGTGCAAGGACTGTTCAAAAGGAAACCTACCCAATGTTTCCTGGTTGTGTGATTTTTCACCTTATCAACTGAAGAGAATATGGTCAATACAGTACATATATAATTAGCTGGTACAGCCTCAATTTGTGAAGTGAGATTCTATATTGACCTATTTGGCAGTTATTTTTAAGGAATCATAGGATGTCATGAAAGTGCAGTTAATGTCTAGGAGCAAATTCTTGCAAGAACATCAAGGTGGTATTCCTGTTTGCCTGTCTGTGTGCGAAATGGAAAATTAAGTGGCACATTTATTTGAGTTTAATACAATCAACACTGAAAGTCCTTTTAAATGAAGCAGAAAAGATGAAGACTTTAATGCTGCATGCTAATGCCATTAACAGTTGAAGCTAAAGGTATGGAGATGAAAGTATTGGCTTTGACTGAACTATGAGCCCTATTGCCTCCTACATCATGTGTATTCATTATTGTTTCATTTATTAAATGTGAGTTTTATGTTTCCCTGTGGTCCCTGGAATAAAGTCATGATTTGTGAAGAATATGGCATTCCTAAGTTTATCATTTATTTATTTATTTATTTTTAATTGAAAAATGTTCTGTGTGCATGTTTTTTTGTTGCTCTTCCTGTTTAATCATGTTTGGTGTACAGTAAATAGGGCAGTGTGTGTGTGTGTGTGTGTGTGTGTGTGTGTGTGTGTGTGTGTGTGTGTTGGAAACAAATGAAAACTGCCACAGATTCAGATTTGAACTGAGATTCTAAGTGGGATAGAATGTGTTTTTTTCTCCTGACAGAGGAGGCCCACAGCAGAGAGCTGAGGATTGTCCTGCTGGGAGGAAGATGGGGTGGGAAGAGTTCAGCAGGAAACACCATCCTGGGAATGGAGTGGTTTGATTCTGGGAGACAGAGAACCATAAACAGTGAGAACCGCCATAAAGAAATTGCTGGCTGGCAGGTCACTGTGGTCGACACACCGGGGTGGAGAGGTTATTCCTCTTTGAGGGATACCACAGAGAAAGATAAAGAGGAGATCAAGCACAGTGCGTGTCACTGCTTACCAGGACCCCATGTTTTCCTCCTCGTTGTTCCCCTGGACACAGCCTTCACCGAGGACCACAGGACAGCGCTGGTGGACCATCTGAAGCTCCTAGGAGACAGAGTATGGAGATACTCCATGGTGCTGTTCACCTGTGGAGACTGGCTGAAGGACAGAACTATGGAACAGCACATTGAGACAGAAGGGAAGGCCCTCCAGTGGCTTGTAGATAAATGTAGGAATAGGTATGATGTCTTCAACAATAGGAACCGGAATGATGACACTCAGGTCATAGAGCTGCTGGAGAAGATAGAGGAGATGGTGGCAGAAAACAGTGGTGGTCATTATGAGGTTGACGAGATTGTTTGTCAGGAGATGAATGAAAAGAAGAAAGCAATAAAAGAAAAGGCAGAGAAGAGGAAGATGGAGGTGGACAAACAAAGAGAGGAGCTTAGGACACTCATCCACGGTAAGGCCAGTTTAGGGCAAGGGATATCAATTACAAACAATGAATTAATCCCCTTGGACAATTAGTTAGTCAAGTCAAGAGATGAACTCCTTGATGAAAGATGAAAGATGAAAATAATTTATTCAAAATGTGTGTATATTTCAATAAAAGAATGTGGCTGTCACATCTGTCTGATTCAAATCTTTCCTGTTGTCTTTTTTAAGAAGTGCAGATACAGCTGACAGAAGTCAGAGTTGTTCTGCTCGGGAGCCGAAATGCTGGAAAGAGTGAAACAGGAAACACCATCTTGGGCAGAGTGGAGTTTGAGGTTACAAGAGGGACCTTAAAGTCTGTAGTGAAACATGGTCAAGTGAATGGGATGGCAGTCACCATGGTTGACACACCAGGCTGGTGGAGAAGTTTCTCTGTACACAGCACTCCAGAGCTGATCAAACAGGAAGTGCAGTGCAGTGTGTCTCTGTGTCACCCTGGACCCCATGTCTTCCTTCTGGTCATTGACACAGATGTGTTGTTCACAGAGAGTCAGAGGACATCTGTGGAGGAACACCTGCAGCTCCTTGGTGAGCAGGTGTGGAGACACACCATGATTTTGTTCACTAAAGCTGATTGGCTGAGGACCACATCTATAGAGGAGTACATAGAGTTAGAAGGGCAGGCCCTCCAGTGGCTTGTGGGGAAATGTGGGAACAGGTACCATGCTCTTGATAACAGGAACAAAGCTGATGGCACTCAGGTCACTGAGCTCCTGCAGAAGATAGAGGAGATGGTAGCAGGAAACAGAGGAAGTCACTATGAGGTGGATGAGACGGTTTTGCGAACCATAGATGAGAAGAGGAAGGAAACAGAGGAAAGGGCCAGGCAGAGAAGGGAAAAGAAGAAGGAACAAAGAGAGAAACTCCAAGATGACCTCAGAGGTGAGTCCATTTTCTGATTTTATGTTTCACACCAGTATGTGGTTGGGTTCATTATGAACATGGATATTGAAATGTACTTTCTTCTAGATCATCTATATAACTTAAATGAAAACCCCATCAGCTCTAAAAGGACTGTTTCTCAATGTGTGAGTCATCTAAAAAATTTCTGGTCATATTTACAGGGTCCAGCCATCGTCTTCCAGAGCTGAGGCTGGTCCTGTTGGGGCAGGAAGTAGCTGGGAAGAATGCGACAGGAAGCACCATCCTGGGTAGAGAGGTGTTCCCCACCTGTGAAACTACACTGTGTGAGGAGGGGCAGCTTGAGGTTGCAGGGAGACGGGTGAAGGTTGTGAACACACCAGGATGGAGTACTAATCTTATACGATGCACCATGGACAGGGATAAAGAGCTCATGAGAAGCATGTCTCTGTGTCCCCCTGGACCCCACGCTCTCCTCCTGGTCATCCCTGCAGACACAGCATATACTGAGAGACACTGGAGAGCCCTGCTGGATTACCTGTTGTGTCTCGGTGAGAATGTCTGGAGACACACTATAGTGCTGTTCTCCTTCGGGGATAGACTGGCAGACACAACCATTGAGGAGCACATTGAGAGGGAAGGGTGGTTCCTCCAGTGGCTTGTAGATAAATGTGGGAACAGGTATCACGTCTTCAACAACAAGGACAGGGGTGATGGCACTCAGGTTAAACAGCTGCTGGAGAAGGTAGAGGAGATGGTGGCAGAAAACGATGGGCAGCACTTCTGCCCTGACATGAGTCAAGTGAACCAAAAGGTGGAGGAGAAATTCCAGAGGAGAGAGGCTGAAGAAATGAGGCTACGTTTCGAGGAGGAATGGAGGAGGAGAGAGGATGAACTCATGAAGAGTGTCAGAATGTTTCTGATGGAGCTGGTGAAAGAAATTGAAGGATCAGATCCACCCACTAAGTCAAAGAAGAAGCCAAAAATTACCCAAAGAACCTGTGAGTTTAATTATTCATAAAATTGACAGAAGTTGAATTTGAATTTCTTTTAAACCAGTGTTTCAGTTACTGGCTGAATTAAGACAGCAATCTGCAGGGGCAAGTCCTCCAATAAAGTGTCAGTCACCAGGGGTCCTCAGTTACCAGGGGTCCTCAGAACCAGGACTATCATTAGCATTCTCTGATACTCCTGTTTACACTTGTCTCAAGTTCTGTTGTATTTTTCCAAAGTATTAAACCATATGGGGCATACAGAAACAGAAGAATACTAATGTTTTGTCTTGCAGCACAGTGGCTCAGTGGTTAGCACTGTTGCCTCACAGAAAAAAGGTCCTGCGTTCGAGTCCTGGCTGTCCAAGGTCCTTTCTGTGTGGTGGTTGCATGTTCTCCCTATGTCTGCGTGGGTTTCCACCGGGCGCTCCAGTTTCCTCCCACCATCAAAAGACATGCATGTTAATCAATAAAGTGTACTATTATTGTTACAGCACTTTTACCACAAAGAAAATTTGAGAAGAAGTGGATGAAGAGGAAGGAGTGGATGAAGAAGAGGATACAAGACACAGTGGAACGCCTGTATAAAGGGTCAGAGAGGATCAACCTGCCAATCCAGATGAGAGGCAGCTATGAGTTTAACCCACCCAGTTGTGAGTGACACTTTTTAAGACTTACAGTATGTTTTACAGTTTAAAATGTCTGCTAACAGAACCACACATTCACTTATACACAAGCCTTATGCAGTTTAGATGTGGACCTTTTTAAAATGATTGACTGTCCAAAAGGTAATGATGCCACACAGATTTTAAATGGACACCAGCTTCAAACCAACCTTTCAAGATAGAGAAGCATTGGTGGTAGATGTACAAAGACATTAGAATCATCTCCCAGAATAAGTAGTTTTATGGACATAGGTAACTCAAAATCCAGCAATTTAGAGAGAACCACAATAACATATTCCCAGAAATTCATGTGGCATTCCCAGAATGTATGACTAGATGTACCCAATAGGCACAGATTGCATGTCAATTTTTGTCATGACCAGCTTCATTTGAAAAGCCGGCAAAGGAACTACATAAAACCTGTGTGCAAGTTTATAGTGTGTAAATCAATGGGCTAAGTTTTCAAATGTAGAGGAACTGTTTTTCCAAGTCATATTCCTGTTTACAACAACCTCACAGGGATGAAGCTCCCTATCCCACAGATACTGCACTAAGAATGTTTTCCTTTTCCTGATGAACACTCATCTGTTTTTAAATTTGTCTCTTAAAGCAGGCAAAATCCACTGAAATATGGATTATTATCACCAGGTTATGTAAGATGATCGCAGGAATGGTCTGCAGGGAAAGGGTACAGTTATCAGTGGTAACCGAACCTGTTGCTGTGTCCTTTGGCAGTGAGTGGAGGCCTTTTCTCTGGAGACAGTCAAGAACAGGAAGGGGTGTATGACACCGTGACAGCATGGCTATCTGACAGACAGGGAGAGCTGAGGTCTTTTGCAGCCAAGGCTGGAACAGACTCTGGAATTCAGTCTACCTCAGATTTTCCCCATCTTGTCACATCCTCTGATGACGAAGATGAGGACAAGGAAGAGGAACAGAGTGTAGAAAACATAAGACATAAGCTACTGTCTCTGCATACATAAATGTGAAATATAAACATAGTGAAAGGCTAAACATCCCATAATTTCAGGGCTTCTGCCAGCAAAATGCCCTTGCTGTCCATTGTGTGCTCCCTCTGGGTGACACCAGGGGAATTTAAGTACATTGAGTACTTTCTGAACTCTCAGAAAGACCAGCACAGGGACTGTTGGAAGATAACAGTGAGTTAAGAAGTATGGGCACACCCACAGATGCCAGATAATGTCCATATGAGCATACACCAGGATTCAGGCAGTTTAATTGGCTCAAAACAACACAAACTCTGCTAACTGATTTGTGGTCCAAGAGACTGACTGTGAGGAAGCTGGCTGACACTTCTCACAAAACAACAGAAGGAACACACTCATAAAATAATCAAATAATTTACCTTAAAGTGCAAAGCAAACCCATCCTTGTGCATCCTTTGGGGGGAAACAGCTGTCACTGTCACACATGATAGTGTATTAGCTAGATCGGGACTGGTTCCATTAGCTTCACTCCCTTTCCAAGGAACTTTCAGTTATTTCATGCAGCTGAATGGGAAGAACTCACCAAGTTTCAGTCACACGGACCTCAGGACTTGAGACTGTCACCTTTACAATTTTATTTTTCAGAATGATTCCTAGTGATTGAGCACCAGCTCGTTTCAGACTGGGACCAGTAGCTACCCTGTTGTATGCACTGTTGTTGTACTGTTATGGTTTTGTATTGTTCATTTGGAAGTGAATTAATCAAAAATCATTCATACATGTTTTTATTTGTTGGCGAAGTGAGAATTTAATAAAAATTAAATGGTCTGAACCCAGCGGTCTTAGAAATTAACGCCCCTGTTTATCGTCCGGCACTCTGAATACTGAACACAAATGACGCTAATTACTAAAACTCCTCACTTAACCAACATGTAAAATAATAAAAAAAAGATTTAATTTTTTAAAAAAAATTTAAATTATTATCTAATATATTAATTATCAATTAAATCACCGAATTCGTTGATAGGAAATGAGCAGTCTGGTGGATCAACCTTTGCCAGAAATATACGATCACAACTGGAATAAATTAAAAAGGTTTATTGAGCAGTTACAATAAGACAGAGACAAAATGCAGAGTCCACAGACCTGGTCCACTACCTTAATAGACACTAAATTACATAAAGACATTAACAAAACAAGAACATGGATGGATCACAGAATGGATGAATGAATGCAGGAAGAGAAAATTACCCAAGCCAATTGTTTACTTCTCCCGAGGAAGAACACAGGAACCACTTACAACAGCAACAAAACTCCAAAAGGAAAAAATCCAAAAAATTGCAGGAGAAACTGAACCACGGACTGGATGACTGAACGGATGACTGAGCGTAGGCAAGGAACTGAGCAGGGGCAAAAACTGAGCAACGAGGCCTGTTCTAGGCCTGACTTAAGAAGAAGCTCTCTCCACCTCCCTGACCCATGCAAGATTAATTTTAAGGCTGGGGAGTGCCTGGAAATTTCTCCAGGACTTAATTTTGTCCTTTCGATCCAAACATCTGGAAATACCAGATATATTTCTCATTTCATACATTCTCATTTTTACATTCAGCTCTTCATGAGCATCGCAATGACACCAAACATTAATAGGCATGGGTTGAGAGGAGAGAGTTGGCTGAAAGCTAGTAAAATGGTGGTTTTGCTGCTATATTGAGATATACATGTTATCACACGGCATTGGGTTTTCTAATATTTTCCATGACATGAGGGTACATTTAACTGTGGGGTATAAAAGGGTAAGTGATCTGAACATGTAGATACACACAAGAGACACTCACACACACACACACACACACACACACACACACACACACACACACACACACACGCTGATTGTGCTCAGGAAAAGGAGAAGGGGGGGAGAAGGCAACCCTCTGCAGTTGTGGTCTACCTGGATGTTACTGTTTTTAAGAAGTAACTTTCAGGTTGGCTGAAAAGGCAGAGTTCTTTAATATTATATTAGAAGTATTTGGCACCTGAACCTCTTTCAGATTAAACCAAACATGACTGCGGCCACCGTTTAGCCAAGGATTCTACATCTGAGGGGCAGATTAATGCTTACCAATACACAAAGCAGGCGTACCACGCCTTACTTTCACTTTTATCTGGCAAAATCAAATGTGAATCTGAACAGTGAACCATTAGTTTGAGGTTTTAAGTATCTGACTGGGTTTTAGGTGACTTCTTACAATCTTAAAGCGATGGCTGCTTATTTTAAGTAGGTATGTGACCTGTGGTCACTGATTTTGGGGTATTTATGATGGTAGACCATTCGCCCTCTTGCCTGCTATGTGTGTGTATTTGTTGACTTATCTTATTTGCCCTTGGTCTGGTCCTGAGTAATGAAGGGAACCATAAAAACCCAGACCAGGGCAAAGAACCATAAAATGCCTGGTACTTTCCCAACATATTGGTTTAAGTCTTAGTAGTGTAGACATTTAAATTACCCTATATATGTACTTGTATGTCAATATGGTTGGGAAGGTTACTTTCAAAATTACCAATTACCTGACATGATTGCAATCAGTAAATTAATCCCAAGGAATACTCAAAGTTAGTAAATTAATCTGATTACTTTGCATTAGTTTTACTGCAAAAGCCACATACTGAAATAAAGATATTTCAATCAAGACTGGCTCTTCTTTTATTTTTATCTTTTATTTTATTTTATTGATTTTTATATAGTCGGTTAAAGACATAATTCAGGGTAACTGCTTTGCCCAAATCCTTGCATGAACAACTAAAGAAATAAGAGAGAAGAGAAAGAGAAGAGAAAGAGAGAAAAAACAGATTCCAAACAATTTTAAGGAGCTTTAAGTTTTAAAAGAGATCTTCCACAGGACAGAGGAGAGTTTTCAATTGAAGAAGGATCCCGTGATTTCTGATAAAGAAATCCTTCCAATCTGGAAGACTTTTCTGTAGATTGAACACATTGTTTTCGGTGTAGAAGGGCTTGCAGAAACCCAATCAATAATAATGTCTCTGACGTGCCAGCACTGACAGTTACTTTACTGTTTGCTGCTGTGTCATAGCTGTATCATTTTAACTGCAGTTTCCAGCAGGTATAAATTTCGGTAAAAAAAAGAAACTGTCCTTCAGGAGTAAATCCTTGGGGGTTGCAATTTTTATCTACTCTGATGTTGTTTCTCCTGTCTCACCCCTCCCACCCCCTTCCAAATCAGTGCAGCCCTCTAACTGATTTCCTTTTTTCCCTTACAGTTTCCATTACAGTGTTTTCTACAACAATGATAAGCTGATGTTAAATAAGTGTCCATAGCTGAGGAAACAGAATATTCATTTCTATTTGACTGGGCTTTGCTCTTCCAGTCTCTGAGGGAAAGAAAAAAACATACTGCCCACAGCTCATCTAAACAAGAAACTTTGCTCCGTATTGGCTCCTCTGAAAAGTGTTTTCATAGAAAAGATTGCAGGGAATGGGGAAGAGTGTGACAATAAATGAATCATGTAAAAATAAACCACATTCAAGTTAATCTTACCGTGAGCTCTCCCCGAAAACTGGTTTGCTGAAAGAAAAAGTCAGCTCTATTGTGCTTGGGCTTACCAATATTTTATGTTTGTTTCTCACAGAGTGAACATGGGCAAAGTAGTATTTATATAGTATTTACATGGTATTTTACTATATTATACTGTAATTGTATAGTATAATATTTATAAAAATAATCATGGCATGTATCATC